ATAATGGGGCCTTTATTTCTAGATGGTAGACACCCTCTCTTCCCTAGTTTCTATTTTTTTTCTTATTTATTTACTTATCTATCTAATACTGCTTTGCTTTGCAAAGGGTTGAGTGTCTCTTAATAAATTTTAATATATATTGCCAGGAAATTTTCTCAAGAGATTATACAATTGTGGGAATCCTTTCTCATCCTTATCATCCCAAGTCTTACTAGTTTTAGGGGTTGTCTATCCATAGGTGAAGGGCTTCCCTCGTGGTTCAGCAGTGAAGAATCTACCTGCAAATGTAGCAGACCCATTTTCAATCCCTGAGTCAAAAAGATCCTCTGGACAAGGAAATGGCAACCACTCCAGTATTCTTGCCTGTGAAATCCCATGGACCGAGGAGCTTGGCAGGCTACAGTCCAGAGTCACAGAGTCAAACACAGCTTAACTAAAGAATAACAACAACATCCATAGGTGAGAAATGCTATTCCTTTGTTGCTGTGATATGCATAACCTAGGAAAGTGAGCACGTATATATTTTGTTTTGTTTTTTCTCAAATGCATTCTCTATTTGAGTTTGATAACATGTATACAATATCCTGTTTAATATTTTTTTATTATTGTTTGCCCTTTTCTTAGCAGTTTATAGCTGTTCCTTATAAATTAAAGTCATTAGCCTTTTGTGTATGATGTTTTGCAAATCCTTTATTCTGATGTACTGTTTGTTTTCTACTCTCTTGATGGTATACTGCATCTTTATTTTTATCCTGTGTGGTCTGTGTACCTTCCTATATGGCATTTGTATTTCCTGGATGGCTTAATAATGACACCTCCCCCTCAAAACACATACATACAAACTGAGACTATACAAAATCTTTCCTAAAATTTCATTTAGCATTTCTATTTTACATTAGATCCTTAATCCATCTGGCTAGATCAATTTCAGATAGGTCTGTCTGGAGAAGAGCTGAGAACGAGCTCACCAAAAAAAAATCAGAGGATGGGCATTGCAGAGAATGAGATCAACAGTGCAAATGTCTTGAAGTACCAAGGAGCCTGGCAGGTGGAAGAGAGACCAATGTAGCAGGACAGAGAGATGTAATGAAGTCAGGCGGGTACTGAGGCTAGAGGTGGTCATGGATGACTCTTCAGGACATGGAAAGGAGTATGGTGAATAAATTAAGGTATGTATTAAAGGTACAGGTAATGTGACTTACCAATTTCTTTTGGTGCTACACTGATAATGCTTATTGAGTTTTTTATAAATTTGTCTGCTTATTGATGATACAGTTTTCTGGGTGTAAATATAGACTATATCTGCCTTTTGGTAGATCTCCTGATGATACTAATGTTAGTTTGTTACAAGATCAAAGTGCTGAAATAAAATAGAGAGGGAAGAATTTTGGAGCTACATATATGAGCTCTGATTCTTAATTTTAATATGTATGGGAAGCCCTCATTAAATTTCTAATGTCTTCTAATAACCTACATGCATTATGCTTAACAGGAATATTTATAATTGAGGTCAACCTAATGACAAACTCTTAAAAGATAACCTGGTTCTAATTTTAAAATACATACAATTATTTTTTACAACTGATTATAAGATGTACCACACTTGTAAAAAAAGAGCTCATGATACATTTAAAAAATAGGAAGTGAATGGCTGACAGATGAAGGGCAGATATTGCTATCCAGATTATTGTTTGTAACTGATTGTGTTTTATTAAACTGATCTGCGTTGTTCAGAATATCCTATATAACTGATGATTCTGTCTCAGTCTCACGTCTCAATAAATCTCTGAAATAAACTTTTATTCTTAGTGCCTAGACATCTTCAGTAATTGAAAGGCCTAGGTTTACCATTCTCATCAACTTGCCCCAATTTAAATGGTCCTCTCCCAGGACCCTTGAGACATGGTAGATGGAAACCTACTCAAGGGCTGGAAACCAAAGAAAGCTACTGAGAGTTTATTGCCCACTAGAGAGTTTTCCCAAGTGGTAACTAGGGCTTTTGGATATAAACAGTGACATATCAAAGTAGGAGGCAAAAAACTATGTTGGAGAGGAGAAGCTAGGCCCGAGCAGTGAGGAATGTTTTCTGGTTAGGGAATGGCCTCTTAGCAGTGTCTCTTAGGTTACAGTTTGTCAAATGACACCTTCTCTGTTTCTTTGAAGCTCTCAAAATAAGTCGCCAATGCAAACTGAATTTTTCAGAATGACGTTTCTACTGGTAAGAGAAGATGTTATTACCAGCCCGTTAGTCTGTGTGTAATTAATGTCACTTCTGGTAATAAACTGACCCTCTTTTATTCTAGCACTTTATTAAGTGCTTCCTGATGGCTCAGCCACTGACTCAGCTCAACATTTTCTCAGCGTCATTATCAAGTGTTTATTGTATGCCGGGGTCGATGCTGTCAACAATTTAACAAGATGGGACCCTTGACCTAAAGGAGGTTTTGATGAAATGCAGAAAATTAATACACTGCATCATTCACTCTTAAATAGTCCAGTACAAAATTTTGTTATTGGAACCCGGAGGGGAGAATTCAAATTCAAGTCTTCTCTAATTCCTTTCTTCATTTACCACAATAAATTACCTTACCAAGTCCTATGGTTCTTTACCAAACCATGTTTCTACTTGTCCCCTTGTTTCACTTGTCACATACTAAATGTACATCTGCTAACACAGAAATGTGTGGCTTTGTAAAGCAATCATCCTCCAATTAAAAATAAATTTGAAAAAATATAGGAAAAAAATTAAAGTGCTGTGTGAAAAATAACATATGTGGGTCACACATTCTGAAGATTAACCTCCCTTCCTGAATGTAGATTCCAGGGCTATCACCTCTCCTCTTTCTCTTAAAATTCTCAAGAAATTAGGATGAAATTAGTAACACTTGGTATGTGGGCAAAGTTAAATCCTCTATGTATTATTGAGTTTTACTCTTCATAATTCTGATAATCTCCTGGAGAGCCATTGATTATAAAATACCCAGTAGTTAGAAGTACTGGCTTCCTGACCTTGGGACTTAGACAAATTGTTTATGCCCTCTTCCAGTTTCCTTTATCTTTAAAATTGGAATAGGAATAGTACTTATCTCTAGGATTGTTGGGTTAAATTAATATGCTGGACCCACGTTGACACACACAAGTGCTTAGTAAGTGTTGGCTATTACTCTTGAGCCCCCTGCATTCTAATTTCAGAACCCACACTGCTGAGCCCATCTTTTCATCACAAGGAAAGTCATACAAGAAAAAATGGACGCAGGAAGTTGGTCACACACCTAGTTAAGTGTTAGAGCTTGCAAGCTGGCAAGTCAATGAAAAGTATCCCAAGGCTTATATAAAGCAATTCCAACCTAAGAATCCAAGTTCTCTAACATAAAGGTATTGCTGGGCAGAAAGAACATGGTCCTCTAGTACCCCTACCTGAAATGCTTTGAGGTTGGACTTTCCACAAACGGATTTTCAGTCTGGCTATCATTGAAAACCTGGTAAGTTCTAACGTGTGGCCGTCAAGATGCTCATTTCTTTTTCTGCCACTTTGCCTTCACCAAACACCCATACACTAGCCAGGTTCTTTGGCTAGTGGTTTCAAGGCTAGGCTGAGGGTGGGGTTAGGGGAGGAGGGGGGTGGGTGGGAGGAGGGGGGGATGGGAGGAGGGGGGATGGGAGGAGGGGGGGTGGTGGGAGGAGGGGGGGGTGGTGGGAGGAGGGGGGAGGTCGGTGGAGCGCAGGAGGATGGGAAGAGAGGGATGGAGGCTCCAAGACTGCAGGATGTCTGTGTCAAAGTTAAGAGGAAGGTGTGTCCAGGGGAACCAGCTACTGTTTAGATGATCTCTCCCTGCACATCTGGATTTGAATGCTCTAAACCAACTGATTTCCATGCAGAATGCTTCAGTGAAGCCCCAGGAGTGTTTGAGTGTGGGTGCGTCCCCCTGGGCTGCCTAGGTCCCACACCTAGGTTTACTCAGCTTCCTTGTCTACTCCTTCAAGCACAAATTGAGTCATGCAAAATACTTGATAAGATTCAATCCTGGAAAACAGGATCCTAGGGATTTTTGTACAGTACTAGGTCCTCTTTTGGGTTAGCGCAGCTGATTTACTAGATCTCTAGTAGTAAGCTACTTTGGGGAGGACTACAGTCCTGCTCCAACCCTTTTAGGGCTGCGTTGGGAACCTAGAAACTTGAACCTTTTCATTCAGGCACTAATCTAAGGTTCCTGGAGTAGGCAATGGCAACCCACTCCAGGATTCTTGCCTGGAGAATCCCTTGGACACAGAAGCCTGGCGGGCTATAGTCCATGGGGTCGCACAGAGTCGGACACGACTGAAGCGACTTAGCACAGCACGCCGTCTAGGGTTAGGGTGTTGTACAGTCTGTCAAAATATACTCAATTAAAATACCATCACTCTATCCCCATCTTACGTACAAGCTTACGTACAGAAGTATCAGTTTGTAAATGGGGGACAAGACACAATTCGAGTCTAGATTGTTCTGAGCTACTACATGTTAACTCCAGGCAGCTTTTCAGAAGCCCCTTTCTAAACACGAGCTGTTGTTTCAAACGGCACTTTCAAAGTTAACCGAAGGAGACCCTAATTTGCTTAGGAAAGGAAATGAGGGTTGCAGAGCGAGATTTCTGAGGGTCTGATCATCTTGCTCGGCACGTTTACTCTCATCATCCAAGTGGTATGTCAAACAAGTTTACGGAGACCACAGTTAAACCCTTAGACCTTACCGACCAAAGCCAGATCACCTCACTATCAGAAATGCATTAACCACTTTGTAAGTCAGGGCTTAATCGACTTATCAGTTTATTCATACTTTGAACTATTTCTAAGAATCAGAGGATTTCATTGTAATTTTTTAGCTTTCGTAAGAATGTAACTTACCTTTCTGGTTATTTTCCAAATATACAGTGATACTAGCACTTCTTTTGAAATAGTGGGGGCTCTGAAAAGAGCCTTTGGGTTTGAAAGCACTTCCGGAAACGCAGGTCTCAGTCCAATTACTTGCCCTTGGCCTTGTGGTGGCTCTCGGTCTTCTTGGGCAGCAGCACCGCCTGGATGTTGGGCAGCACACCACCCTGTGCGATGGTCACACGGCCCAGCAGCTTGTTGAGCTCCTCGTCGTTGCGGATGGCCAGCTGCAGGTGGCGCGGGATGATGCGGGTCTTCTTGTTGTCGCGCGCCGCATTGCCCGCCAGCTCCAGGATCTCGGCCGTCAGGTACTCCAGCACCGCCGCCAGATACACCGGGGCCCCAGCGCCTACCCGCTCGGCGTAATTGCCTTTGCGTAGTAAACGATGGACTCGCCCCACGGGGAACTGGAGCCCCGCCCGCGAAGAACGAGACTTGGCCTTTGCTCGCGCCTTACCTCCTTGCTTGCCACGTCCCGACATAGCAAATACAAAAAAAAAACAAAGAAAACAAAAACAAGACTGCCTGTCAAAATACACCAAGTCTAAAACTAGGTAGAACACTGCTGCTTTTATAGGCATTTCCTGGGGAGTAAATCCGATTGTTTGATTGGTTGTTAACGAGACTCAGAGAAGTAGCCAATAGAAAAGCTGAATTTCCATACCTCATTTGCATAGTTCTGCCCATAGATGACAACCTTGCTGTTTATCTTCCAATTAACTAAGACGCGCTCTGCATCCCTCATTAGCATAAAGGCCCTATAAGTAGCAGAAATTCGCTTCCTATTTTCCATTTATCTTTCGTGTTTTCAGGTTTTAAAATGCCTGAGCCAGCCAAGTCCGCTCCTGCCCCGAAGAAGGGCTCCAAGAAGGCGGTGACCAAGGCCCAGAAGAAAGATGGCAAGAAGCGCAAGCGCAGCCGCAAGGAGAGCTACTCCGTGTACGTGTACAAGGTGCTGAAGCAGGTCCACCCGGACACCGGTATCTCTTCTAAGGCCATGGGCATCATGAACTCCTTCGTCAACGACATCTTCGAGCGTATCGCGGGCGAGGCATCGCGCCTGGCGCATTACAACAAGCGCTCGACTATCACATCCAGGGAGATCCAGACGGCCGTGCGCCTGCTGCTGCCCGGGGAGCTGGCCAAACACGCGGTGTCCGAGGGCACCAAGGCCGTCACCAAGTACACCAGCTCCAAGTAAACTTGCCAAGTAAGCGTCTTTACACCCAACCCCAAAGGCTCTTTTAAGAGCCACCCACGTGTGCACAGAAAGAGCTGTAATGTATGTACGTTGGGCATTCATTAATGGGACTAACGACTGACGGAAGTGGTTTGCTAATGTGAATGAAAATTAGAAAAAACTGAATTAGGAGGCTGTTTTGTAGTATCAATGAGGCTTGCAATTCTACAAGTCTCCGTGAGGGCTGAACTGAGGGAGGGCTAGTAACGGAAGGCAGGGAAACGAGGCGGACGGAGGAAAAGAGCCGTAATTGTATTTAGCATACACTCTAGCACACAAAATTCCCAAACCAGGCAGTCGCTGGGCGAGATAGGTTGGGGGAGGGGAAGGGCGCACCTTGGAGTAACGTTTCCATTAAAGTAGACTAGACTAAAGGCATAATCTGTGTTGCAAGGGTAACAGCATTTATTTGACGATTTGTGGTAAGATGCAATGTGATTTGATTACTTAACGGTGAAGTCCTGTGATCGATGTTCAGTTTTTTTTAACACCTGCAAAAAATACAGAGGCCTGTCTGGCGCTAGTCAGGCCTCCATTGGAACAGCTCCACAATCACTGGCTGCCTAACCTGGAAGTTACCCCAAGAAATGTGCAGCCCTGGCCTAAATAAGGTAGAAGTGTAAGTATAGGTCAATGGCATATGCTTATCACACCACCTCCTCAAACTGTTTCCAAGTCCCTTAACAACTGTCATAGGATTTTTTTTTCTATACCTCTAGTGAGCCTACCCCAGGCTTGAGGATACAAATCAGACCAACCTCTCCTCATTGCCAAATCTGTTTACCCAATATAGGTTCAAACATAGGTTTGAAAAATAGGTTCAAATATAGGTTAAAAAAAAACCCAGGCTGCCTATAAGGTTTTTATTTCCTTCTCTTCCTGTTTTCCTTACATATAAATTCTGGTTTGTTTTTGTTGGATGAAATAATTCTTGCTTGATTTCTCTTCAGTACAAGAGCAGGCTGGCTAATCATTAACACTTGACAGTTTATTTCTGGAGTCCACCAAGACATTGTTTACCTGAGTCCTACCTTAGAGATCAATAGAAATGTGACCTGAATATATACCTCGTCTAGCCCTGGGCACTTTTGAGTTTTCTGTTCCTCTTCTCTTGGCTCTTGCATGCTAACATTTATTTTCACCCAATTTGCTTCTTGATTTGGTGTTTAGGTTGGATACACACTAGTGGTTTTATGATTAGATCATTAAGTGATTGGCGCAGTGGTAAAGAATTCAATCCACCTGCCCATGGAGGAGATGCAACCATCCCGGGATCAAGAAGATCCCCCGAAGCTTGTAGATCTTCTTGGAGTAGGAAATGGCAACCCACTCCAGTATTCTTGCCTGGAAAATTAACTGAACGACTGAACCTGAGCAACTGATTGCCCACGCACATTAAGAGATTTTGTTACTGTTGAGTCGCCAAATTGTGTCCAACTCTATGACTTCACGGGCTGTAGACTGCCAGGCTCCTTTGTCCATGGGATTTCCAGGCAAGAATACTGGAGTGGGTTGCCATTTGCTTCTCCAAGGAATCTTCCAGACCCAGATATTGAACCTGAGGCTCCTGGCAAGTCTCTTGCATTACAGATGGATTCTTCACCCCTGAGTCACCAAATCGGTGGCAAAGGACAGGGTCGAATTTGGTTCCTTTGTTAATCTTTTGGTTGTTTGAGGATTCTGATATTCTCTGGCAATTGAGAACACAGGATTAGGAAGCTGGTGTTTATCTTTCTAGCCTTTGATGGGATCCACTGTATTTGGTGTTTTGTGTCTATATACTGTGTGTTCTTTTAACTAAAAATCAGAGTTTCTTTCAAAACTGTTTTGGTGATTACTCAGTATGAATCCAAATAATTGTTACTATCTGCAAAAACAATATTCCTGCTTCAAAAATAATGTGAATATAAAATGGCCACCTAAAACTTTTTACCTTAATAAAGTTGTAGACCCAACAATAAACTGAAGAAAAAAACCAAGGAAATAAAATCTTCTTCATGGAATTGGCCTGTCTTGGTATCCTGAAGCCTCTAAAAGTTTTATGATTCAGTAATTCTAAAAAAAAAAAAAAAAAAAAAAAATGTCTCTTCTTTAAGTAAAGTTAGAGAGGAGAGAAAAATATGCCATTATAAATAGAGCTATTGAGTCACGTTGAAAAAAAAAGAGCACTTCCAATACCTGTATTAAAACAAACATTTAATAGTTTACAAACCTTAAAGAGTTAATTGTGAGGGATATGGCACTGTAAACTAGCATTTCCTACCAACCTTTGAAGGATATGAGAGACTTTACTCATATTCTCAGTGATGGTGTTCCCCAAGGCATCTCTAGTCATAATCACATTTGTTTCTTTAATTGATTAACATACTTAAATCTCTGTGCTGTTTTTAAATTAAATATCTTTAATTTTTGTTATATTTCACAATTAGCTCCTCTAAAAATTGTACAGTGATTGAGAATCTTTTCTGCTTTATGAGTACAAATAATTTTAAACAAATTATCTACTTCAGCAGGAAATTTTAAACTCAAATTTTAAATAGCTAATATAAAGGCTAAAAAAATTCATCAACTTAAAATTAGAGGAAAATCAAATTCTCCTGATTCTTTAAATGTGGCTATGTCATTAAGTGGTAACTCAGGCAAAAAAAAAGTTTCATTGAATTTAATTAGTGGTGATTGTTAACAAGTTATGAGATAAGAAACAGAACTACTCCACTATTTTTAAACAACTTAAATATTTTAATATATGGCCTGTAATTCTATAGGAACAAATCAAATATTTCTAATATAACTTTTTGGATAAATTTGCTGGCTTAAAAATTTGCTTTACAAAATGGATCTATGTCTTTTTATTTATTATCATCATAATGTAAAAGTAATGTTACTAGTTTACACAAGTTTAGGGATTATTTTCTTTCAAAAAAAAGTTAATTTAAATTTGCTAAGTTACTTCAACTCGGTTTAGTGATTACATGAGTTAACATCTATCTATTTATTTAAAATTTTACATTATGTTAACTATGCATTGAACTAAATTATCACAAGATAGTGATAAGATTACAAATCATATTGACTCAGTGTGTCAACTTAAATCCTGAATTCAAAGTTTATAGATAAATATAAAATTTGCTACTGCTAAGTCACTTCAGTCGTGTCCGACTCTGTGCGACCCCATCCCTGGGATTCTCCAGGCAAGAACACTGGAGTGGGTTGCCCTTGCCTTCTCCAATGCATGAAAGTGAAAAGTGAAAGTGAAGTCGCTCAGTCATGTCTGACTCTTCGAGACCCCATGGACTGCAGCCTACCAGGCTCCTCCGTCCATGGGATTTTCCAGGCAAGAGTACTGGAGTGGGGGTGCCATTGCCTTCTCCGAACTATAAAATTTAGGTGGTATTAAATTGAGTTAATGAATGCCAAATCTTTGGATACCTGGACAATTTCTAAATTGGAGAGTACAAAATACACATCACTAAGTTAGAATGGTGCAAGCCTTTTATTTTGACACAGCTGAGAATGATCGTAGATTAATAGGTTAGAGAGCATATAGATACCTTTGGAGAATGGGAATGGGTGTGCTTGTTTTTGCCACTTTAAATTTGTAAAGGGTATAAGTAAAGTATACATGTGAGCTCAGAGAACAAGGAAGGTTTTGGACGGCCTCCCAGTTTCTTTGTGCCTGTGAGGGAACACAATTGCCTGCTTCCTAAAAGGCTGTTGTTAATACAAGTAGCTCTGGCTCTACCAAGTACTATAGCTACAGAGAAACACAGATATATACACAGGCAATGGCTCTGTTTGCTCTGTTCATTTAATGGGAAGTTGTATATTGTTCATTAACGTGGTGTGTGTGTGTAAGTCACTCAGTCGTGTCTAACTCCTTGAGGCCCCATGGACTGTAGCCTGCCAGGCTCCTCTTTCCATGGAATTCCCCAGGCAAGAATACTGGAGTGGGTTACCATTCCCCTCTCCAGGGTATCATCCTTACCCAGGGATCAAACCTGGGTCTCTTACATTGCAGGCAGATTCTTTACCATCTGAATCACTGGGGAAGCATGCATTAATGTAGTAAATTCAATTTCATATGTACTGTCTTATTTATGCTGATAAATAAATGCACTTTAGAGCTGCATTATTATATTTATCAACCATCCCCTCAATAAAAATTGACTATCCAAATCTCTCATACTGTTGGTAAAACCACCTACAGACTTTATAGTCATGAAACCAAAAATAACTCGAACA